CGTCGTGTCTGCTTCAGGTTGCCGTAGCAACAGCACCACGTCGTCGTCCGCCGCCAACAACATCTACGGCGTCAACTCGTCGCAACCTCTGACCCCGTACGGCCTGAGCTCTCTGCCCGCCGGACCCGCCGCCGGAGCCGGCGCCATCAGCATGGCCGCCGCGCAGGCCGTGCAGGCCACCGCGCAGGTGAGAGCAACAAAATGGCCGACGCCGACCGAGGGCCTCGGCGCCGCTAAAAGAAAAAAAAATTCTCATCCCTGAATTGAAAAACAAGATATGGTTTCAAATTGACGATGGACGAGCATAAATTGCCGCTTCGCTTCCTTGTTTGTTGGCCAGAAAGTCAGCCGAAAGGCATTTCCAAAGATGATGTTGCGAATGTGCAGTTTTGAAAGATCGCTCTCCTTTCATGTTGTGTTGAGAGGCTGACATTTGACGGGAACATTTGGACAATTTGAAGCTCACCGATGAAACGGTCAATCCGATCACGACCGAGTTCGGCAGCGCAACGGCAATGAATCAATTGATAGCTCCCGTGCAGGTTTTGCCGGCAAAACGTTGAGTTGCCGTCCCTTCGGGGCCGCCACACGTGGCGCTTGTCGAATCGGCATCCCGCTTACGAGGCGGCAAAAGGTTAAAGAGGCACGACGACGACGATGCTGCGCGTGTGACTCCACCAGATGAAGGAGGGTCGGCGGACGTCCAGCCTGAAGGCGAGCTACGAGGCCATCAAGAACAACGACTTCCAGCTGAGCCGAGACTCAAAGTTGTCCCGCGAGGCGTCTCCGTATCCGTATCCGTCTTCGGCGCTGGCTTCCACCTTGACGCAGACGCTGGCCCCCGCCGTCGCCACCGCGGCCGCCGCCGCCGTCAACTCGGACTCTCGGGGCCGCAAGTCCAAGTAAGACGAAGCGGGGTTGTCCGCGCGCTTTCGGACAGAAAAAGAAATTCAAAGACCGCCTTGAGGTTTGTTGAAGCGGGGACGGCGTCATCGCCTTCAAGCAGACACGTTGCCACGCCACGCTGCTCTCTTAGGTCCCGCAAGGCGTCCAAAAGCAAAGCCCCCCCCCCCCCACCCCGCCAGCGCCCCGTTGGCGCCCCTCCTGACGTTTGCTCTTTTCCAGAGGCGGCGTCAAGTCTTCCAACCATCAGTCGTCGTCGTCGTCGTCTTCGTCTTCGCTCTCGTCGTGCTCGTCGTCGTCGGCGTTGGCGCAGGAGCTTTCCCAGCAGGCGTCGGCGCTGCCCGAGGCCGAGGCCAGCGGCCAAGTGGACTGGACCTACGACCCCAACGAGCCGCGCTACTGCATCTGCAACCAGGTCACACGCGCCGCCGCGCCCGCCCGGCCTCGCCGCCGCTCGATCCGATGAGCCCGTCGCTCACCGAATGACGCATCGATTGCAGGTTTCGTACGGGGAGATGGTGGGCTGCGACAACACCGATGTAAGTCACGCATACTCCGCCGGCAACTCGCTGGCTTTTTACCGGTCGGCGGCTCGCCACCGCCCGCGAGGCGTGGACGTTTGCCATCTGGCTCGGATACTCGGGGAACTTCGTGACTTGGCCAAAGCTCCTTGCGGGCAGTCGGCAACTCGGGGAAACCGGTTGCCGAGCGTCGGCAACTCATGAAATCTCAATCAAAGGAGTGGGGGGGGGGAGGTGAATGACCACTTGATGCCGATGGTCAGCGACTGCTGAAAAGTAGTCGCAGGGGGTCAGCAACTCTGGGAAACTGTTTGACAAACCCAACACGAAATGGGGCCTCGTGCAAATCGATCGTCAAGTTGTCCATTTGCTTGCTCTTGTGTCTTTAGTGTAACGTGTGTGTGTGTGTGTGTGTGTGTGTGTGTGTGTGTGTGTGTGTGTGTGCGCGTGTGTGCGTGCGGGGGATCCACTGGCTCCGCAGTGTCCCATCGAGTGGTTCCATTATGGCTGTGTGGGTCTGAGCGAGGCCCCCAAAGGGAAGTGGTACTGTCCGCAGTGCACGGCCGCCATGAAACGACGCGGAAGCAGACACAAGTAGACGACGCCATGAAACGGACCAGCCAGCATGGAACGCCGCCAGCACTGCCGCCGCCGCTGCTTTGAACAATAAACTCGATGCTTATTATTTTTTTCAACGTCCACATGGTCTGTCCTTTCCTTTGCCTCCGATCTGTCCCGTGGCTTTGCCCCCGCCCCATCCATCCATCCATCCATCCATTTTCTGATCCGCCTCTCCTCACGGGGGTCGCAGGGCTTGCCGGAGCCCATCCCGACGGGGTACACCCCGAAGTGGTTGCCAGCCAGCCGCGGGGCGTACACAAACGCACCTAGGGACAATTTGGATTCCCCGATCAACCGAGCACGCATGTCTTTAGAATGTGCGAGGACCCGGAGAAAACCCACGCGGGCATGGGGCACAGGAAGGCCGCAGCTGGAACGGGACCCTGCACCGGCGTGCCGCCCCTTCATCAACCGCGCGTACTTATTCGAGGCGAGCGTCCGGATCCACGAATAGCCGCCAGTGGGGGGAGGAGCGCGCCCACCCCACTCAAAAAGTTTCCTCCACCCCAAAAGAGCACAGCAGTTGAAGAGAAGGAAGAGGAAACGCTCCAAGTGCCACGCGCAACTTTTGGGTGGATGCGGTCCGCCCGCCGCCGTCCCTCCCGCGGCTGCGAGCGCACTCGCGCTCCTTTCCAGCCCCGTCCCGAGCGAAGCCTCCCGAAGCGTCAAGACATGACGCGGACGCCTTGAAAATGACGGGCCGCCGCCGCCGCTGCCGCCGAGCCCTTTCCGGCCCGCTGCTGGTCCTGCTCGGCGCGGCGGGCTTCCTCTTGTACCGCAGCCTGGTCCGCGTCGACGGCGGGACCGGCCCGGCACGCCACCGCGTCCCGAACGCCGAGCGCGACCGCCCGCTACCGCCCGACGGACGCAAGCTGAGCGCCGCCTTGCGCGGTCTTCAGGTGAGGAGGCGATCGTGGGGGGGGGATCTCGGTCCCCGAAGTTACGAACGCGCCCGGCCGCCGATGTGGAGTGCCAAACGCCTTGAAAAGTACTTGAGGGATTAGGACGACACCGATGTTTAGCAGATCTTTAAAATGGGAGAACTTTGCCAGATGCTTGTTTGTTTGTTTTTCCAACTGTAGCGCGTCAGGTTTTCCTCACGTAACAAACGGTCGAGCTTTGGAACATGAGGAATGTGTCACAATGGAGGTCGGTGGCGTTTTCGTTTTCGGAAAAAAAAGTCGCTGCCTCCAAAGTGCATTTCGGGACACCTCGAGCCATCTGCGCCGAAAATGTGCCGTTGACTAGAGTGATCGATGCTCGCGTCAGCTTCTTTTTGCTTCGAGCTCAGGGAAAACGCACGCAGTCGCTTCCTTCTTGCTATATTTTGTCCGAAGGTCGAATTCGATCGGCTCTCTTGACGGTGTTGCGGTGTGTGACGGTGTTGTTGTTGCTCCAGGTACAGTATAGTGCGTGTGCAAACAGTCTGTCCGCGGGGCTTGGTGGTCATCACCGGGGGGTGCGTGAGACTATCCGGGTTCATTTTCTTGCGGAACTCCGTCCACTCACTCATCCAACTGTGGCCGCGCATCGAGAGATCGGCATTAGGATAATGAATGCGGTCAAGATTCTTTTGGGCAAAAAATGGACGTGTGTGTGTGTGCGTGTGTGCGGCGGGTTGTGTGACGTTTCCAAAGTACGTCGTCCCTTCCTGCCGGCAGGGGGCACCGTTCTGTGTCTAATTTTTCTTTCCCGCTCTGATTGACGGCAGCTTGCTTCCTCGCTAGCTAGCGAGCTAACTTGCTCCCCATCTCTGTTGTTGTTTAGTTGTCTCCCGTGACGGGCGGCGAGCAGCCCAGGCAGCAGAGGGCCGTGCTGGTGATCGGTCGCCAGGACACGAGCGACAGCGAGGTGCAGCTGTACCGGCGAGTTCTGACCCGGCTTCACTTCCATGTGCAGACGCAAGCCGACCCGGCGCACCGGCACGGTAACGTGCCTTTCCTTTCGCGCTTGACGTCACTGCCCGCCTCCCTTGAAATCGTCTCCTGCGCGGCCTGGGGAAGAGCCCCAAAAGACGCCCGCCGGCCCACCGGGCATCCGTCCTCTCTTTCAAATGGCCGGTCCAGGCCCGCTCAAACTTGCTGAAAGTTTGGAGCGGGTGGTGGGTGTCCAACCTCCGGCCCGAGGGTCGCCGGAGGGCGCGCCGACGACCTCTCAAAAGGCACAGTGGAAATGGAGCCTTCTCGTGATTTGATTTGGGGCCCGGCGTTGATGTGAGACGCTAAATTTCACCGGCGGCGGAAGCCCACGGTTGAAAAGGCTCCGCCCGGCGTACGCATGCGGACGGATCTGAGAGTCGCGCGAGTCCCGACGCCGCTGCGATCGCCATCGCTTTTGTCGAGCCATTTCCGATTGCTCATGTGAATTTGCAGCGCCGTCAGAATCGCTGCCTGTCAACAAAGCGAAACAACGGCACACGTGCGGACGAGGTCTTTCTGGCTTCTTGCCGCCCTCCTTTTGTGGCTCACGCGTCCGCACGTGACCGCGTCCGTCCGCTCGCGCCGAACAGGTCAAAAGATGGCGCCGCGCCGTTTTGTTTCAGAGCTTCGCACACGGCAGCCGCCGCCGCCGCGCGCGCGAAGCATCTGTTCAACTCATTTGCGTGCCCATAAACAGCAACTGAATCGCAAACCTTTGCAACCGGGCGCCTTCCACCAAACGGCAACAACAAGGCGGCGCTTTGCCGCGTGCGTGCGTCGTCCTGGAAACGGCTGCCAGAAGTGCAAGCGCTCCGGATGTTCCTCAATCGCTTCCACATGTTCCCCCACCTTCAGTTTGGGCTCTTTTGTTTGGACAAGCCGCCGACTTCCTGTTTTGGCTCACCGCAAACTGAGAGCAAACGGGCCGCCGCCGCCGCGCGCGCGAAGCATCTGTTCAACTCATTTGCGTGCCCATAAACAGCAACTGAATCGCAAACCTTTGCAACCGGGCGCCTTCCACCAAACGGCAACAACAAGGCGGCGCTTTGCCGCGTGCGTGCGTCGTCCTGGAAACGGCTGCCAGAAGTGCAAGCGCTCCGGATGTTCCTCAATCGCTTCCACATGTTCCCCCACCTTCAGTTTGGGCTCTTTTGTTTGGACAAGCCGCCGACTTCCTGTTTTGGCTCACCGCAAACTGAGAGCAAACGGTTTTGTTGCCAAGTCGGACGCTTTCACGCGGCCCCAAAGTCTCGTGTCCGCCTTCGTGTTTCCGCTGTTCCCTCCTGGTGGCTTTGGCTCTTCAGAACCGCCAGAAAAGTGGGCCTTGAAGGCAGGCTGGCAAAAGCTTTTGTCCAATCGCTGACTCGCTATCTGTTGCCACGTTTACAGGCCCGTGGACCCTGCTGCTGTGCGTGAGCTCGGCGCACGCAAATTGTCTGAGGACGGCCGAGGCCGCCTTCTCGCACCGCAGGGTGAGCTCACCCAACGCGCCATCGCAGCCCGCCTCACTGCCAAAAACGTGTGTGTGTGCGTGTGTGTGTATGTGTGTGTGTGTCTCAGGTCAATCTGCTGCCCGGCCTGATGGAGGCGCTGTCTGCCGTGCTGACTGCAGGTGACTTTTTCAAAGGAAGAGCCCATCAGGCATTTTTGGCCGCATGAGGCCACGCGACCGCACGAGGTTTGAAAGGTCACACGAAGCCTGTCGAAATTGGTCACAATGGAGGCGCCTTTGAAGGCGTCGAAGCAGCCGGCCAGCCTGCAAATTGCCTCGTTACCATCGGGAAGGCACGTGCGCTCGAGTGGCGCCCCACCAAACGTCATGCGGCTGAAAAAATGCGGCCACCGGTTGACTTTTGTGTTCCGGCATATATGTGTGTGTGTTCGCTAAGTCAAAGTTTTTCCTTGACAGAAGGATTACCCGTCAGGCCTCTTGCTCACACAGCCGCCAACGGCAGCCGCTCTGCGCCTCGACAGCCACTCACGACGGACAGGTGCGTGCCTGTGAGTCGGTGCGCGCGCGCCGTCCGTCGCATGATGTCGGTGTGCCGTCAATTGACAGCGGAGAACCTCCTGGCGCCGGCCCAGTCTCCACGGTGAGCGTTTTCGTGTTGGTGACATCGCTGAGGCCGCTGAGCTGCTTCGTGCACAGCGTCGGCGTGGTGACGGACGATCAGACGTCCAGAGCCGCGCAGGTGGGTGCTCGCTTCGTCGCGGCGCGCCGTCCCCTGTTGCTCACTGCCCTCACGCGCTTGCAGATCAGCCGCCTCCTGCCCGCTGATGCCGTGGAGCAGGCCAAGAGGCTCATCGGTCACCTCCTGGGCGCCGCCGCGTCCGCAAACGAGAAGGCCGCAAACCACAACAGGTGAATCGCGCCGCGTGATGATCGACGGGCATCCCCTGAATGATGCGTGTGCGTGTGTTTCAGGTGTGTGCTATGTTACCAGCTGCTCACTTTCACCCTGACCTTCGGCGGCACCATCAAGCCGCTCGTCACGCAGGTATGGCATGAAACAGGAAGTCACCTTTGCTCTTTCCCCCAATACAAGATGCTCTTACTTTGAAAAGATCGCAGAGTTGAATGACCGCCGCTGAGTCATTTGATCGAAAGCGTGACAGCCAGCATGCCTCGAGTGCTCACGCACCGCATACGTATGAAACCGCAAACGTGCGCTCGCGCAGTACCGGACACGTTTGAGTTGAGTTGAAATTGTGAAATGAACAAACATCCAACAGGGGGCAGCGTTTGCTTTGATTGGCCAAGCTTTCTGGTCTGCCCCTTGGCTGAAGTGTGTGTGTGTGTTCAGGTGGAAGGAGGCTTGTTTCTCGGGGCTCTGAGTGACGAGCGGTTTGAAAGACAGGTGACTCGTGACATCATCCTCGAGGACACGCTGGACTTGCTGCTGTCGTCGGAGGCGGCCGACGACGACGCTCAGGTGAGGTCACGTGACATGCGCGCGCGAGTCCGGCGCGTCGACCCGAGATCGATGGGAAGCTTCTCCCCGCCCCTTTGTCAGCGGGACGCCTTTGAGGAGACCAGCGGGGTCAGCTTGTCGGAGGACAACTTTCGGCTTCTGCGAAACTTTCATCGCCACATGATGGCGCCATCGTCCTTTCAGCTGGTAACGACAGACGTGCGCATGGACGCGTGCACACCGTTCATCTGTTGATGAGGAAGTTGCTGTGTGTGTGTGCAAACGCGCGATGTTGCAGGTGTGCCCCAGCGCGTCCCGGTCCTGCGGTTCCGCCTCTGGTCTTTCGGAAGTCCTCCTGGCCATTGTCCAGCTTACGAAAAACAGCAGGTGAATCTCGCTCGCGGGCTCCCGTCACCCCTCGCGTCACGCCTTCTCACATCTGGCGCGTGCGCCGCAGGGGCGAGCCATCAGACGCGGCGGCAGCCAATCGGCGAACGGGTGAGACTTTGACCAAGAGGCGCGGCGCGGCCGCGTCGGGCTCTGCGATTGGCCGGCTCTCTTTTGCCCAGGTCGGTGCGCGGAGCCCCGCCTGCGGCAGATTTACTTTGCCCCGCCCCTGGCGCTGCGTCCCGCCTTCAGCCCCCACGTGACCGAGTACCGCGCCGACGTGACCTTTGACACGCTCGTCCTTCGCGTGCGGGCCGAGACCCTCAGCGAAGCGTGCCGTGCGCAGCCCAGGTAAGGGTGCGGGCGGCCGCTGTCACGGGGGGGGGG